AATTCTAACTGATAATTTGGATAGTACTAATAGAAAACAATAGTTTTTATCGGTTACATTTTTAAAAAATATTTAAATCTTAAGATTTTATAGATTTTTAAAATAAACATGATTTTTGATGAGAAGTGACTTGGCGCACCATAGAAAAAGAAAAAACAGTAAAGAAAAAATATGCAAAGAAATCTAAAACCCTAAAAGTACTATTATAATCTATATATAGCTAGTAAAAATTCTAATGTTAGATTAATAGATGAATTACTCCTATAAAAGATAAGAAAGTAGTAGATTTTGGTAAAAATATTCTAGGTTTCTAAATTGGTGAAAATAACTAGTCAAAGAATTTAAATAGGTAATCCTAGTTTGGTTTACAGATTCAACCACCTAGTATAGACAGTGCCAAAAGCATAGTGGCTAGTTGTACTTCTACTGTAATTTTCAAATATATATATAGATCCCTATGATCTAAAATATGCATTATAAACATCAATAAAATCTAATCACCAGGGTTGGGATCCCGCGGCCTAGTGGTCTAGGCACCCAACCCTCTACGAGCGGGTTTTGGGTTTAAGTCCTAGTAAGTACGTTTACTTACGAATATTTGGAAGTATCTGCTGTGAGAAGTCCAAGTGAATACAAGTCTGAATTAGAAATTTTCAGAAGGAGGTCCATTGTGGAGTACCGTACAGCACTGACTTAAGTATCCTCCTATGTGTAATACCCCTTACTATTTACAATAAAGATCCATCTAAAATACCCAGATATAGCTGTTTATTAAATTCTATAATTAGTTAATAATACGTATATTATTATAAGTGTTGTACGTATATACGTATATTCATAAAAAATTCACTTCACTTCACTTATACATAAAGTTTTTACAACAAAACTCTAACAAAAAATATAGAACTAACTATAAAATAAAAAAAATCTATTGTAAATTTATGAAACTAATACCCAATCATTTTCAATCATAGTTTCTTCACTATAGATATTATCGATATCTTCTGTTTCAACCCAAGCAGTTTCTTCGTTAGTAAGATCTATTAATTCAATATTATCTGCTAATTCAATATAATCATCATTTTCCATTTTATATTGCCGATCCATATTAAAATCTTGATCACTAGAAATTCCACAACAGCTAAACGAATTTTTAATTAAATTAATATCAACACCATCCTATGCATTTCTTACCCACATTGCTATCAAAGAGTAAGATGGTCATTTAATTCTTCTAGCAGGTGTAAATTTGTGTATTTCATTAGCTATCCATTCAAGATATAGATTATGAAGTTTTGCTTTAAAGGAATGGTTTATCATAATATCTAATAGTTGAAGTTTACTTGTTAACCCACCAGGTATTACTGCAATATTAGTCATATTTTCCCTAAAATTTTTTTTAACAAGATCGGTAATATGACCTTTGAAAGAATCTAATACTAAAAGTGAACGTTTACATCTATATATATTTTAAGCAAGCCAAACATTGTTTGTCCACCAAACTATTTCTTGTTCGTTGCACCATCCTTTCTCATTTACACGAATATGGATGGATACCTTGGGGAAATTGTTGACGGGGCATATTTTTTAACTTAATTGATGATCTACCAGTCATCTAAAGAATGATCATAGTAAAATGTGACTCAGATTACTATATAAATTTACTATAGTGTGAATCTGGCAAGCGCCCAAGATAAACTTTTTTTTATACTAAGTTAATCACCTTTCTTGCTTAAAAGACTTTTGTAAAGCTTGTCAAAATGCATCTAATGGTAGT